TCACTGAACTACATTTGTGTGCCACCCCTCCCCCATTTGTTCAGTCTTCAGAGCTCTAAGCGTTACATAGTAAACATATAATGCTGACAGGTCTTCAGAGATCTTTATGTATCTCCATGGAGATTCCAGGACCACTGATATGGAAACTTTATCACAGATTCAGAAACAATCAACAATTTAATTGATTAAAAGACTTGAATAGTTTTACAACCCCGTTTCCAAAAAAGTTTGGACGCTGTGCAGAACATAAATAAAAATAGAATGTAATGATATGCAAATCATGTAAATCATATTTTTGAAGGAAAATACGACAGACAACATATCAAATGTTGAAACTGAGAAATTGTATTGTTTTTGAAAAATGTATGCCTATTTTGAATTGTTGGGAAAAGTTGGGACGGGGGCCTGTTTACCACTGTGTTTCATCACCTCTTCTTTTAACAGCACTCCGTAAGTGTTTGAGAACTGAGGAGACACTGCTGTAGTTTTCCATTCTTGTTTGATTCAGGATTTCAGGTGCTCATCAGTTCAGGGTCTCATTTGTCGTATTTTTCATTTCATAATGTGCCAAATGTATCAGTGGTGACAGGTCTGGACTGCAGGCAGGTCAGTTTAGTGCCCGGACTCTTTTAATACGGAGCAATGCTGCTGTAATACATGCAGAATGTTGTTTGACATTGTCTTGCTGAAATAATCAAGGCCTTCCCTGAAAAAGACGTCGTCTGGATGGCAGCATATGTTGCCAAAACATGTATATATCGTTCAGCATTAATGGTGCCTTCACAGATGAGCACGTCACCCATGCCATGTGCACTAATGCCCCCTATACCATCATGAATACTGGCTTTTGAACTGTGCACTGATAACAAGCTGAGTGGTCTTTAGTCTGGAGGACACAGTGTCCATGATTTCCAAAAAGAATTTCAAATGTTGATTCGTCGAATTACAGGACACTTTTCCACTTCCCCTCAGTCCATTTTAAATGAGCTCAGGCCCAGAGAAGGTGGCAGCATTTCAGAATCCTGTTTATGTACAGTTTCTTCTTTGTATTTTAGAGTTTTAACTTGCATTTGTGGATGCAGTGATGAACTGTTTTCACAGACAGTGGTTTTCAGAAGTGTTTCTGAGCCCATGCAGTGATTTCCACTACAGAATCATGTCTGTTTTTAATGCAGTGCTGTCTGAGGGTCCAAAGATCACAGCCAGCAAATACTGGTTTTTGGCCTTGTCCCTTACATACAGAGATTTCTCCAGATTCTCTGAATCTTTTAATGATATTATGAACCGTAGATGATGAAAAGCAGAAGTTCTTTGCTGTTTTATGTTGAGAATCGTTATTCTTGAATTGTTGCGCTATTTGATCATGCAGTCTTTCACAGAGTGGTGAACCCCTCCTCATCTTTAATACCCAATCATGTTACTGACCTGTTTAACCACAAGGTTTTCTTTTCAGCATTACACAACTTTACCAGCCTTTTGTTGCCCCCCGTCCAAACTTTTTTGGAATGTGTTGTTGGCATCAAATTCAAAATGGGCAAATATTTAAAAAAAATAATTAAATTTCTCAATTTTGACATTTGATATGTTGTCTTTGTACTATTTTCAATGAAATATAGGGTTTAAATGATTTGCACATCATTATGTTTTGTTTTTATTTACATTTTGCACAGCATCCCAACTTTTTTGGAAATCGGGCTGTAGTTTAGCAGTGCTTTACAGATTTACACATTTGCTTCCACACAATGGACTTTATCTGCTCACCATGTGGCCATGATGGACAGGGATGCAGCCTCACTTCCTGCTCTAAATGAGGGAGTGGCTAAGACGAAGTGGCCACCTATGCACTAAAACTCTGTGTTTCTGTAGAGACACGCCAACATTATTTACTTTATGAAGGACCCTAAAACTACAGACTGTTCTGAAGATCTCATAAAGTCTAGACTGGATCACCATCTTCTGTATAATTCTCTCAAACTAAAGGGATGCAGGACAATTTGCATGAAAACCATCATTTTATTTTGAAGACATCAGAATTTTAAAATCTAATCAAATCTGTGGGCCAGAGAAAAAAAAGTTTTTATTCATTTTTAATTAATGTTGTGCTGTAACCCGAACTGACCACTGTTTATTTAAAATGTGCATAAACTTCAACAGTAAGATACAGACACTTGTAGTAGACCTTAAAAGATTACAAGAACACTTGAAATATTCTAAATCTAAACGTCCCCAGGAGCTCAGTCTTTTAAACCTACCTATCTGCTTGAATTAGACACCTGGCATCCTTTCTTTGCAGTTCATTAATACCTGGGCTCAGTTTCTGAGCTGCTGAACTGACGTTTGGGGTTTATATTGGCTGAAATGCAGTTAGTGTGTTTGGTGATCTGACTGGTGTGGAACTGCACAGAATTGTGTAGAATTGAGTTGAATTGAGGTGTAACTGCTGTCCTATAGACTGTTGTTGGGGTAGGAGAGTCAGAGCACATTATGTTGCAGTGCATGCTGGGGACTGTAGTGCAGCACACTGTGAAAAGAGCTAATATTAATAGAAAATTAAAATACTTCTGCAGGCCGGACAGGATTGTGTGGCGGGCCTGATCTGACCTGCGGGCCTTGTTTTTGACACATGGGCGTTATGGGGTCCTTATGTATTGAGTCTTATCAGTCTTATCAGATGTTATTAGATGCAGCCTAATTTAAATACATCTAAAAGATCTTTTCCTTTGTTATTTTTTACATGATAGAGTTTTTATTAAACTCTCATCAGGCATGAGGCGCTGCTTTGCTCTGCTGTTCCACTCAGAGACACTCCAAACGGCACTTCTCAGTTATTACTCGCTCCTCGAGCCGTACAGCAGAGGATTAATGGCAAATTACATTTCCCCAGTGAAGCTGATTTAAAGTGACGATCTATTCTAAATTATATCATAAGAATCAAGAGGAACTTTACTTTGGATGCCGCTTCTCAGTTGCTTATCACAGGTTCACTGCAGAGCACAGGACAATGGAGATAATCTGTGCTGAGTGATCACAGAGCCATTCATAACCCATCATTTCTCTATTCATATGGTTTTAACTTGAATGTCACGCCTCAGTATACACTTTAAATTCTTTGCTTAGCTTAGTCTTCTGTCAGTGTCCATTCTGTCAGTGTTCATGTGGGCCGCGATTCTGGACATTCTGGACAAGTTCCACTCTCTCTAAAATTTACGCTTTATTCCCACAGACCCCGACACTGTTCTAGAGAGAATAAACGTGGAAGATGGAAACAATTTATTCTGTTTTCTAACACCTGGATATTGTAACACTTTCACACACACACACTCACTAGGGCATTCACACACACGCGCACACACGCACACACACACACACACACACACACACACACACACAGCTGACCAGACAGACAAGGACAAGCTGACAGCTGGAAGCTCTTCTGTGCGAGACCTGCTGTCAATTAGAGGGAAAATGAACTAAGCAGAAAGGATAGAGGGACAGAGAGAATGAAAAGAAAAGGAAGATAAATAGAGGTGAAGACTTGAGTGAAGCTGCTGCATGTGCAGTCTGGACAGCAGGAGGCAGTAGATATACATGACAATGAGAGAGAGAGAGAGAGGGTTGTGCAGGGCAGCACTGCCTGAACCGAATATGTGGATCATTTTACCAAACTGGCTCAAAGTCAAGGCTGAAAACATATTTCAGACTTTCGACTGACTCAGAATTTAGTCTATAATCCTGTCGCTTTGGATGACCCTAAACTTTAATTAGGCTTATTTGATTAAACATTTCATTTTGTCACTAACAAAACAATCACAACACCACTGAAACTATACTAAACGTTTCAGTGGTGAAAACTTCAGCTAATTTTAAGCATAACTCAAAAATCCCAGCCAGTACATCACTAGCAAACATGGTTTTGAACAACTGTACACACATAAAATCATAATATTTTTATTAGAACAGTAAAAACGTATTTAATCGCTGAAAATGTGTTTCTGTAGTGAAAATTCTTAATGCTACACATATTTGCTTTACACTTTGGGACACATTTACTTCAAAACAATGGGATCTAACTGCTCACCATGTGGCCATGAAGGACAGGGATGCAGCCTCACTTCCTGCTCTAAAATGAGGGGTGTGGCTAAAATAAGGCTCCGCCTATGAACTAAAACTCTTTATGCTTGAGTATAAAATATGAAGATGTGGGGCAGCATTTAAGAAATAAAGTAAATCTAAAACTTTCAACTTCATTTTAAAAGAATTAAAAAGATCTTTTAAAAACAACATTAAAGAAAATTAAAGAAAAAAATTGTGCACTAGTTGAAATGTAGGGCTTAGTGTTTGGGACAGTCACCTCCAAACACAGAGTACACTATAAATGATGACTTTGTATATATTTGGCTTCCTATTTCAATGAACACATTGGGTTTAAACTAAGTCATAACATAATTAAATATCTGGTGTGAATATGAATGTGAAGCCTAGCAGGATGTTTTTCTCTTATAAAACTGGTTCCACTCTTTGTAAATCATAATGTGATTGATTCCATTGTCACATGCTAATTATGTTGGTAGTTAATTTCACGTGTAAGGCCTTCTGTCCAGCTCCTGAAGGCCAAACCAATGGTTGGCTGTATCCACACAGTTACCATGGAGAAAAAATCGAATCTAAATCTAAACACAAAACTTCTGTTTTGAGCAGAAAGTTCTTCTCTAAAGGCCTCGGAGGCCCTGAGGGCTGCTCTTTGGTATGTATACCGTCATGGCAACAGAGACATCACTATGTTATGGGACAGAATGTTTTCATGGATATAATCCTCCTAATCTATCAATTCAATACCAATAAAAGTGAAAACAAATATAGTGTTGTATAATTGTATTGTAAACAATATCGCCCAGTACTAACAGACAGTGACAGAGAAAGACAGAGAGAAAGAAGTACAGGGAGAGAGAAAAAGAGAGAGAGAGAGAGAGAGAGAGAGAGAAGACGGGGGGTGTACTCACAGCTGTCTTCCTCCTCTGTGATGGAGCTCACGACGTAGCAGGCGTACACAAAGCCCAGCAGCTGAGGAGACAAAGAGCAACACAAACATTTCAGCTGCTTACAGCCTCTGAGAAGAAGATCAGAGAGACAAAAACAGAGAGAAAAGGAGAAACATGGAGTCTGTTACACTTTCTTAGCCTCTCACAACACTAAACCGGGAGAATATCGTGTTTTGCACCACAATATCCCTCCTCTGTGAGCGCGCCTGTCCCAGACTGCACGCAGCTCAAAATAACTAATACACTTGTTAACATAAAAACACAGACAATACAGCAACAGAACAAAGGCTTCTGACATCAGTCTGCGCCGCACCCGCGCCAAGTCAACGGATCAGCTCCAGCAGAGTGGGTACGCTGGCCGCATTGATGGGAATGCCATGGCACAGAGGCAGATGGCACAGCTCTGCTCTAAAATACATACAGGGCTGGGGTGGAAAGGCTCAGCCCAAACCTACGAGTGGCACCACGCCCACTCAATTAAGTCCTTATTGGGCATGCTGCCCTAAACATGCCTACTGGGAAAACAGAGTGTGCATCCGTGGGCGAGAGAGAGAAGATTGCTAGGTATACATGAAAGTCTGTAATTAGCAAAGCTAAATGATATGGAAATAACACATTACTACTGCATAGAAAAAGCCGCCGCGCTGCCTGTCTTAAAATATTAAAAACACATTTAAACATTAGCATTACTTAACGTATTTGTTGCCTGTAAACAACAAGTTTACATGGTAAAACTGTAACGAGTAGCTGAGTGGATGTCACCCCCTCCTGCCTTCTTATTTTATATCATATCTCATTAATTTAGGTCCTTCTTAGGTTGTTTATGTTTGGAAATGCTGAATTTATAGTTGCAGTTTCTCTGTTTCCTGGTGAATTTTGTCTACTTTTTGCAAACCTAAGCAAAACAGAATAAAAATCTGTACTGTGCATCATAAACTAATGTCTTTAAGTATTGTGATGTTACATATTTGCCATATCACTCACCTTTAGTTGCAAGCACAAATGATGGCGTGGACATTTGGCTGAACTGGACTAAAATGAGGTAACACCCACTGCCTTTTGACACAGCCAATTCTGACTGAATTCAATTTCAACTGATCTGAAATCTCATATCTGTATTTTAACTGCAATAACAAACAACACATAACACAGCCCTGTAGTCTAGTATAGATGGTGAAAGGACAGACATGACAATATTCAATGAACAAATATCCTTAAATTGAAAAGTGAGATCCCTCTACTGCTGTACGGCTGAATTGGCCGAAGCCTTGATATGATTGAATGATGCCCATAGCCTTTTCTAAATGCAGCGCTGCTGTCTGCTGGTGTATTTTGTCTTTTCCAACTTGTTTATAAACCTATGAATAACAAAATATTGAGATACATACCAGGTATCACTAAAAATGTCTTCAAGATATTTTGCCATATCACACACCCTTAGGGTGCAATCACAGCGGAGGGCACAGACATTTGGCTGCACTGAGCTAAAATGAGGTGACGCCTGTTGCCGTTTGACAGCCAGTTCTGATCTCCAGTCAGTTCTGACTGATCTGAAACGCCACCTCCATCAAGGAAAATGTCAACAGCCAGACACTACAGTCTGCTGAGAGGAGAACGCCGGCTTGATTAACATGAAGTGTTAACCCTGATTACTTTAAGGGGGGGGGGCTGTGTGTGCGTGAGTGTAGTGAGCAGTTTCAGAGCTAATCAACAAACACACTAAGCCATGCAGGGACCATTATTCTGAATGAGGTTAGACTGAGCTGAGCCTGAGCCGGCAGCCCTCTTACTTGGGTAATTGTGTGGAAAATAACACTGGTACACGGTTAAACAGGGTCAGAGGGCTGACAGATTTTTTTTTTTTTAATTTCTTTAAAAGTTATTGCAATAAAAAGTCACAATAAAAACAATAATAATAGCGATATATGTACTTACTCAGAAGAAAGAAAACATTTTAGTCTTATTAAAATCTAAAATCTCTGAATTTGTCTGCCTGTATATTTTCAGTGCAATGAATATCCTAATACTGACACATCGAACAGTCCTCAGTACCCACGTACATCCCTGACAGAAATATGATATGAATTTTCAAAAGGAGGAGACTGAGGCCACATTTCCTTTCAGTGTGTTCTGGAAATGCAGAATGTGATAAAAGGTGCTCGTTAAACTGATAAGAGAATGAGAACGACAGTTCAAGCTTACACTCCAGCAGGAGCTGAAAGGACACGCAGGACAATCTCTGTTCTTCTAAAAGCCTTGACAACCCAGAGATCCTTCAATAGCACTTATTCAATAAAGCCTATTTCCTTTAATGAGGCCAATTAATGACTAATTCCTCTTCAGGGGATTCATGCAGGGTTAGGCACAAAGAGGACCGCCCTGAACTTCAAACATCGCAGCGCTCTGAGTTCAGCTCCTCTGGAGAACACTTCGAAACCTCTTTCATTAATGCTATTAAAATTTAGCCACTCAAGGTCTTAAAGCCGCGCTCCATTCGTCTGACTTTTTTGCTTTTCAGTAACCTGCCTCGCTTCCTTCTCTCTGGCTGAGAAACGTGGACTATAGCAGCACCCACAGCATCTTCCTTCATAATTCATCCCTCGTTTTTACTGTGCTCTCTCTCTCTCTCTCTCTTTCTTTCTCTCTCTCTCTCTCTCTCTCTCTCTTTCTCTCTCTCTCTCTCTTTTTCTCTCTCTTTCTTTCTCTCTCTCTCTCTCTCTCTCTCTCTTTTTCTTTCTCTCTCTCTCTCTTTCTCTCTCTCCCTTCCTAGACACTGAGCTTCAATTACTGTCTGACTTTTACAGAAAGGCTTTGATGTCAGGGTCTTTATGGGTTCAAAGTTTCTTATCTGACCTGATCTGCACCTCTGACCCGACTCAGACCCAACTCAATTTAACTTTGGCCAAATCCAGAACTGGAAATGAATGAAACACACTGTGTTTTCTGCACTGCTGCTGTTTTGGGCTTTTCAATGAGACATTCCTCATTGTTTGTCAGGGTCTTTCAGTGTTTTGAGATGATACTGACGTCTGCTCCTTCAGAACTACACAGCAGACATGTATGAACAGTAATAAAAAGCAACTGCATCAACGTTAGAAAGAATAAGTAATACCGATGATTTTGTTAAATACAGGGTTTGAAATGGGGGGGCTGGGTTGGTCCTGGACTGCCCCTAAAGGGTAAAGAGGCCCCTTTACAAAAAGACAACATTGGATTTTTGGGAGTCTCATGTTATTTCCTTGAATAAAATGTGAATTTTCTGACAAAATGAATGTCCTCACACGAGATGACCAGCTTTTTTCTATGTTTTCATTGTGGTTAACGTTAAATTGCTCCTCCTGGATAAACTGTAAATTCACACAGTCCCAGTCTGTAACGTAACCCTACAGCCAGGCCACAGCGCTCGCTTGTGCATCTCAAACTGCTGAGAAACTTCATACCTTTGGTTTTACATCACTGACAGCCATGAACACACAGAAAAACAAATGTTGTTAGCAGCCATGCCACAAGCCAGCAGTCGGCAACATGCAGCTCTTTTACTGTCCTGTTGCTCCACAGCAGAATCAGATTAGTAGGTAAAAATAAAACAATCCTCCTTTACAGTAAAATAAAGCTCTGCTGATCGTTCAACACAGTTTAACAATAAATGGTCTTAAACTCTGGAGTTAATGTAGAACTGCTGATTCACCCTTTAACCCTGAAGATCAGCACAGACTGCTGGTCACCATAGCAACACAGACAACAGTCTCGCCTAGCTAGTAGCTAACGAAACGGCAAAGAGAGAGATTTAAGATGAACTTCGATAATCTGGAGACTAATGGACTTATTTGTTTTTATAATCACTCCAGCTGGTTTTCTGATACGTTTAATCTGCAACGAGAAACTGAAGCACTAAAAAGTCGGAAAGCTGAAGTCAGTTTCTCATTCCACAGCTTCTTGTTCGCATTTTCCTGTTCTACCTTAAATGGTGCAACAGTTGGCTACATAGTTAGCTACATTTTGGCGCTTCGGGCACCATTTAAGGTGGAACAGGAAGATTCGGACAAGGAGCTGGAGATGGAGAAGCTGATTTCAGCCTCGTAAAAAGCAGCTGCAGCTGAGCTTTGTCTGTTAATCTGAAAGACTTTACTGTCTTACTCGGTGTAAATTTCGAACCACATGTGATCCGTTGTGGCTTTTTGTGGCCTCATGCTGGGAGTCGCTGAGCAGTGGTGTGTTGTGTACCGGGGCTGGTGTTTTTATCAAAAACAATGGTTTCTGATTTTTGGACCCTGCACGATGCGGCACGTCCGGTGTGCAGCGGCCTTAAGAGTAAAAATAATTTTTATTGATACAGATTTGAAGTTAAAACACTTCTGCTAAATAATACTGGTGAAAAAACTACAGGGGTGAATATATTGTGAAAACAGTACATATCAAAACACACACCTCAGAGTCAGACTTGCCCCCAGGAGACCCTTCAAGACCTCTAACACAGTTCAAACCCTGTTTAAATATATTTCACATAAAACCTACCAGCGCTGTACAATAAGACATTGTTCATTTTGAAACTCAAGTTACTACAATGACTAATTCAAGCAAAACTCAAACACAAAAAGTGTAAAAAAAGGCAGACAACCTTTTTATTAAGATCATTTCCAGTCAAACCTGTGATTAAATATAAGCTATTCATTTTATGACATAATGACGAAATGACTAAATATAGCATCAGTATCGTCAGTATTTACTGTGTCCATCCTCTGCTTTTATTACAGCTTCCATTGTTTTCTGAACACTTTTTAAAGGAATCTGCAGGGGTATTTTTAACACCTCCAAAGTTCAGTGTTAGCTGGTTGCATCGTCTGCTTCTCACGATCCAAATAATCCCAAACACACTCAGTGATGTTGAGGACTGGACTCTGGAGTGGCCAATTCTTCTGAGAACAGCAGCAGCTCCTTTATTTGATTTGCAAATGTTCCTCCTTTTCTCAGTGAGGCCTCTTTCAGCTACACATCCTTTCAGACCCACAGCGCTGAGTCGTC